CTGTTCTTTCTTGTGCACCAAGTTTGTGTCTCTGTGGATTTCTGTTTCTTCATTCCCTCCTTATTATCCCGTTTTGCATTGGAAGGGTCTTTGATGGGATAATCTTCATGAAGCAGAGACTTTCACCTTTCACATACCCATACAGAACGGTTTTAGTGTCAACATGAGCAGAAGTGGTTTGATCAGTTTCCTATGGCTAGTACTAGAAATTTAATACATGGAGGCGATGCATGGGGCTTGGGTAGCCAAGAAAGAACATTTTGATGTGGAAAGGCTATAGTAGAGCTGTTGCCACTGAGAAATCTTTAATTAGTTTTCACCTGAATCATTGTAACAAGAGTGAAAGAAATTAAATATTTTTACCTAAGTCAGGTCATGATCAGATGTTCCTTTCTTTATTGTACCAACAGCATATATCTGATCTTGTATGTAAACAGCTGAGCTGCAGGTCTCAGCTCTTCACCACAAGATGAGGTGAAGAGATAGGAGCAGTACTGTACGCTGTAGAAATGTACACTACAGAAAATGTATGCTTCTCTGTGTAAATGAGTTTATTTGTTGTTCATTGTATTTCTGTATTTTCATGAGACGTCTTAAGTCTGAGATAACCAAAAACCAGAGCAGCAGAAAAAAACCCTACAAACAAAAAAACAAAACAGAAATGGAGGTGCTTTGCCTAAGTTCTTAACCTATGGATGTGTTGCAGAATATGCCTATCAACTGGTGAGACACACAAAGAAATGGCATTATGACATATACATGGCAATGTGGAATAGAAGCACTCAGAGCTTCCTCATTACCTTTCTTATTAATCATTCCTTTTTATGAGCAATATATTAGGCAACAAAGCTTTTTGTGAAGATATTGCTTCCTGTCTGGTTGAAGCTAATGTCTTCAGAAGAAGCATTTCCTGTGGGCTGGTATTATCTTTTCAAAGTGTGGATTTGCTGTGGTTTATTGCTTGTGACAAGAAAGAGGAAGCAGATGCAAGCTGAATTGTCTGTAACCTATTCTATGATTCTGTGATTTCTTATACAGAATTATAAAAAGGAAGCCTTCTATTGAATTTAGTCTGGCATTCTGTATTTAAATTTGTTGGATACATCTGTGTTTTAAATGAACACATCCTGTCCCAGAATAGCATGGAGGCAGAATTTAGGTCCAGCTTGCTGGGGAGTGTGATAAACCTGATGTTTGTGTCAAAGATCTGTCCACAGGGAGCCACAGATTTGTAAAAAGGTGCTAAAGTTCTTAGTCCAGCCAGTGTTCGTACTTCATGTGATTTCTGCTGGGTGCACAACTGATTCTGATCTTGTGAATTAAGGTGCATGTATAATTACTAGGAAGAACTGTACTAGCTTGTTTTGCCCCCAGAGAGATCTTTTGCATTATAGTTACTCATGCTCTGTCTGGCTGAGTTTGAAACATCAAAAGCCACAGACCCTTAAATTTTTCTATGGAAACAGGTGAACAGCATCCTGCAGCTTGCTCCTGCAGAACTGTCCCAGAAGTTGGCATGGATCCTCCAGCCTCTTGAACCACACACAGCACAAAGTGGAGTGAGGGAGGAGGAGACCTCTGGGATGTGGAGGCTGGGAAAAATCTCTTTTAGACCTTATCAGCAGCACAAGACAGAGCAACCTAAAGTCTGTTTTAACTTACTAAGTCCAAGGAATCCTTTGCAGTAGCCAAAGAATTACTGTATTGGAAGGCCAGGCAGAACCTACCTGCCTCTCCAAACAGAATAGTTGAGATTGGAAGGCAGCCCTGATGATCATCATCACCCTGCTCAAAGCAGTGTCAACTAGAGCAAGTTGCTAAGGACGTCTGTCTTGCTGATGTACCTTGTAGAAACCTTTTCTGTTGCCCTTCACATAGCTCATCAGATTCAAATCCAGGCAGGCTTTGGCTTTCCTAACACCATCCCTCCAAGTTAAGGGATTCCTCCTGGATCACCTGACCCTGCTTCAACCTCTTGTATGCTTCCTTTCTGTGTTTGAATTTAGTCAGGAGCAACTTGCTCATCCATGCAGGCCCACTGCCACTTTTGCTTTGTATCCTACTCATTGGGATGGACCATTCTTGAGTTCAGAGAAGCTGAAAACCAACCAGCTGTTCTGAACTCCTCTTCTCTTCAGGACTGTCTACCATTGGATTCTCAAAAGCAAATTCCTGAGCAGGCTGAAGTTTGCTCTCAAGTCCCTGGTTGTGAATCTGCTTTTGATTTTTTTACCCCTTCTTTTCAGGATGCTGCTTACTGCAGCCAAGCCTAACTCCAACCTTTACGTCCTCAACCAGTTCTTGTCCACGTCCTTAAAAATAAATGGAGTAAGAAGAAAAAGAAGGGAAAGGAAATGAGGAAAGGGATGGAGAACTTTTTAATCTTTCAAAATTAAACACTTAAGTTCCTGGTAACCTATAAAGTGAAAGCAATTATACAAGTGTTCATAGAATTATGTTTCCAGATTTTTATTAATTCTCAAAATTAACAAAATGAGTGATTAGTGAAGTCCTCTTCTGTTCTGAAGGTACTATAATTTCTCTTTTCCATGTGAAGCCAAGTCCCAACCTACCTGTATAGTAGATATGAGCAACTTTTTCCACACAGACCAAAGAGTTGGGGGGTGGTGTGGTTTTAAAGCTGTCTGACAGCCAAACACCACTCAGCCACTCACTCACCCTTCCCCCTCCCAGGGATGGGGGAGAGACTTAAAGGGGCAAAGGGAAAAGAGATTCAAGGGTTGAGATAAGAAAAATTTAATAACTAAACTACAACAAAACTGAAAATAATGTTAATAATAATGATAATAGTAAACAAATATACAAATATACAAATGAATGACACACAGTGCAACTGCTCACCACCTGATGACCAAGGCTCAGCCCATTCCCAGCTGATGATCCTGGAGCAGAAAGAATCCTGGAACTGCAATTCTGCAAAAGAGATAAGAGCCCGAGTGTCCAAGAGACCGAGAGACAACCGAGAGAGAAGGAGATGACCCTGAGAGAGAGGGAGATGACCCAGAGAAAGAGAAAGAACTTCCAGACAGATCCTCATAATATACTGGGCATGATGTGCATGATATGGAATGTACCATTGGCCAATTTGTGCAAACCCAAGGTTGAATCCTAGGCTAGTCATTGGGGCTGTGCTCCCTCCCAGCTTCTCCTGCACCTGCAGACACTGGCACAGCAGAGATTCTGAAAAGTCCCTGACTGTCCTAGCAACAAGTATAAGCATCAGTATGTTATCAGCCTTCTTCTCAGCACAAATCCAAAACACAGCCTCTTACTAGCTACTGTGAAGAAAATTAACTCTGTTCCAGCCAAAACCAGGACAGGTGGAAAGACTGATATTGCTGGACAGATCTGAGAAATTGTTCTTGTAGGAAAAGAATTGGCAGTACGAGCCTATGATGTTAGTAACGGATTCTACAGATTCAGCTTGTTCAATGCTGTTTCTCAGTTAATATGATATTAAAATTAGGTCAGAATTTGATGTGACCATAGCAGTCACAGCTTTTGTCACTATAACTCTGAAAGAGTAAAACTTTGTGCTAGGGTAAAAGAATACAAGTTTCCTGTGTGGGTCACCACAGTACTTTTTTCTCATCTCTCAGTTGCCCTGTTTCATTCCAGTGGCAGTGATCACTTTGTCATCCTGCAGAGTCACATATGGAGACCAGGACAGATACACCACTTGTTCTGCTACTACATTTCAGCTTCCTCCTGTGGAATTAAGGTAAACTTCCCCAATTTTCTTGTCCAAATGCTCAAAGGACTTCTGTTTTGATATAGATTAAATGCATCTGGATTGCTTTTATTGATGGTGCTTGCAGTGAAAGAGAGAATTGCGTTCTGCAAATTGTCCCACTAGAATTACCCATGTCTATCCATTTGCTACACAAGGAAATTTAATTCTTCAACTTTGTCCTCTCTGTCAAGCCTAAGTTGCTTATTTATATTAGTTGATGTGGAGAATGCTAGATAACTTCACTTCCCTGTGAAAGCAAGATCCCCTGTCTAACATTGAGCTACCTAGTAGTTGTCATAGCAGCAGTTTAATCACAAGAGAGAGCTCTTAATGAGCTACTGTCATTGCTTAGATGATTTTGTATTCCATAAAGCTGATTTAGGACATCATTCCTTCTATGTATTACTGTTCTGTTAATAATATGCTCTGTCATTAGAAATGATTCCAAACTGCTGCAAGAAAAGCTCTGTTGACCTTCAGGGAAATTCAGATACAGATCTGGACTTTGTAGCTAGTTGGACTTCTAAATTCCAAGTAAAGCAAAGTGAAAAAAAGCAATACTTGAAAGCGTGTGACAGGAATGAAAAGGAGCACATCTATCTCAATGTGAAACATTGCACTTCTTCCAAGAAACTGACGATGAGAAGACAAAGAACAGAGGAGAACAAGCACATCAAGAACAAAGGTAAAATCTGTTAATAATGGGAAAGATGTATGCATTCCTGAATAAACAGTCTAACAGATTTCATGTCTGAATTAGAGATTTGCATTTGTATGCTAAAAAATTTTCTTTTCTATCCTGCTCTTTGAAGTTGGGAAGGATGGGTGGTTCAAGGCAGGTTAAAGTTGGAGACTTGCAGCTCCAACAGAGTAAGTAATGTGTGACCTACTAATTTCTGCTGATGCTGTATCAAAATGGTCACTGTATTTGGACTTCTCTTCAGATGTAATCCTGAGTTGTGACAGATCAATAAGCCCCTGCAATGGGAGAAGTCTCAAAGGAGATGGGCAAGTGCAATGTGCTCGTGAAGTATGCAGTGACTGAACATGGCTGTCAGAAAGAAAGTTGAACATAATATTAAGGGGACCGGAGAGGTACCTTTTTTTCAGATCAACAGTTTTATCAGCTGGGTGGATCAACTGGCTGTACCAGTTGACTGGATTAGCCAGTTGTGTAAATTTTCATCCATGAGTTAATCAAAAGAGTGCGAATGTCTTCCTGAGTTAGCCAGACTAGCATGGGGGGAGCATATATGTGTCTCAGCCTAGTACAGAGTACAACCACTGAACAACTGACAAAAAGAGCTTTGAAGAGAGCAAGAGGCTTGAGCTGCTTAAACCCACATATGACTTCCTGGTGCATCTCAGCATTGTGAAGGTAAGCACATGATAGAGACTGGCAATGAGAATCACATTTGTATTGTAATTCAGCTGTGTGTTGACATTGCTATATTCTGCTAAGTGTAGCTTGTGTTGTGCTTACAACACATAGCTGTATCAGTCTGCTAAATCGAGATCCCGTGTAGCATCATGTGTCTTCAAATAAGTAAGTTTAGTATTAAACATTAAATTGTCCATGTGTGGAATATCGAAAAGAACCTGGTCAGACAGTATTGGACTCTGACATGATTGCAGGGTGAGGTAAACAATGCAGTTTGATATATGTTGCATTTTTAGAGCTGATCCCATTGAGAAAACCTCACCTTTCTCACATTTATGTTCTTTTTCTTCTTGTCAGATTCTCCTGTTTCATGTACTACTTGCTGGATTGTTACAGTGATTCTAGGGATCCTTTTCTTGGCATTACTGGGAACAACACTGAGTTTTGTTATCAAAGGTAAATAAATCTCCTCCACTGAAAATATTTGTTTTGAATTTAGAATTGTGGAAGGGAGCAAAACAGAGATCTTGAAGTCTGCTCAGGGGTCCAAGAAGAACATGGAAGTGCCTTTTCTCTCTTAAAACACTTGCTTCTTTTTTTTTTTTTTTTTTTTTTTTTGAGATTTTTAAATGTTAAGCTTGGTCTGGTTAGACCTGCCTTCAACAGGAACAAGAGAGTAAGGGTTAGAGGGTGTCAAAGATGCCTTTGAAAGGGGCAACTGGGTAGACTTCAGTGTATACCGTGTTGGGTGCTCATTCACTCAGGACCATTATATGCTCATGAATACAGCTCTAGGCTGGAGGACATAACCTGAAGGCTCATTTATTTTACGTGGATTTGGAGACCAGTGCTGTCCAGCAAGAGAATGAGCCCTGAGGTATTCAGTGGCCATCTATGGGCCAGTAGAACCAGCTGCTCTCCTGTTAGGAAGGAGAAGGACGGTGCTTCAAACTACAAGACCTCCATGACTATCAGATGTTATAAAATGATTCCTGTTCCTTGGAAATTTAACCCTTTTGACAAGCTTGCTGTGAAATGCTATGAAGCTAAGGGTCAGGCAAGTATAGGAATCAGAAATGCTGTTCATACAAAGCAGCAGTACTTCAGAAAAGTGCTCCAGGATGTGCCCTAGCAGCAGCCAGTGCTCGTGTTGGAGGCTGTATGGAAATGGGTGACCTGCCACAAACCTGTCAGGTGCCAGGGCTTTGCCTATCCCATGGGATAGAAGGAAACACGGGCCAAAGAAAAAGTGTATATGGAGAAGACAGCAAAAAAAAGGGAGGGAAAAATAAAAAGGTGAAAACCCTGGGAAGGAAAAGGAAGGTCCCAAGAGACCCTTCTACGCTCTCCCACCTATTCCCAATCTGGAAAATGGATGCCCTTTACAGAGCCCTTCAGAGACTCTGATGGAGGTAATTACATTGTCTTTGCTAGTCTCAGAGGAGATCCAAGGATGGCATTACTGTGACTGTGGTCAGTCGTTTTCTGGAGAGGGTGGATTTGTGAAATCTGTTTATAATGAACTAGGTTATGGCTGTGAGTGGGAAGAGAGATGTATGACTGTTTTGCAGGCTGTCAGTGTCCACGCTGCCCTGAGGAGTGGGTGGCCTACAGAGGGAGCTGCTACTTCTTCTCCAAGGAGAGAAAGGACTGGCACTCCAGCCAGGACTCCTGCCGGGCACAGGGAGCTCATCTCCTGGTGATCAGTGGTACCAGCAATATGGTGGGTGCTATTCCAGTGGCAAAGGCAGAGGGCCTTTGCCATGTAGGATGGTAGGATTACGGGGGAAGGCACTCCACTGCCTGGCTCTTCCCCTCTGTGATGAAGGGAGAGTGTAAAGGTCCTTTGCAACACTCCGGGACCCATTCACCTCCTTCCTGGCTCTGACAGAGGCAAGGCTTTCTCTTGGCCTGCTGGCAAGAGGGACTTGATTCTCTCTGCCTGCCTCTGCTGAGCTTGTAGTGGGCTGAGCAATCAGATCCCACAGTCAGGGGCTGCCTGGCACTCTGAAACACTGAGTATCACAAAGCAGGTCCATGTAGGAAGGAAAGGTATGGCTATTCAAAGGACATTGAGAAACCTAACCCTAACCCCTAAACCTAACCTTGAACCTAACCCTAAACTTAACACCTAAACCTAACCCTAACGCTAGCTCTAACCCTAACCCCTAATCCTAACCCCTAACCCCTAATCCTAACCATAACCCCTAACCCTAACACCTAACCCTAACCCCTAACCCTAACCCCTAATCCCTAAACCTAACCTTAACCCTAACACCTAACCCTAACCCTAAA